GAAACTGTTTGCTGGACCAGACTGTTTGTTGGCCAACACTCAGTCACAGCTGGTGACACACAAAACTTTCGTCATAGTAGGTACTTCAGAGTGAGTGAGTGAGTGAGTGTGGTTTTACATCACTTTTAGCAATACTCCACCAATATCACGGCGGGGAATCGAACCTGGGTCTTCAGTGTGACACGCAAATGTTTTAACCACTAGGCTAACCAACCATCATGCGTTGTGATGGACTAACTTGAGAATAATCGCCCGATTCAGATGGGACATCCATATATCTATGATGCGGTACAGAAGAGCAGTCCTGAACTGATGCTTGTGCAAGAGGAACTTAGCATCCCCGACCTAACGAAAGATTACACATAATATGTGAGTGAGTACCCACATCATCGTCATCTACACCAATGCAGCGTTCGAAATAACCGCCGCCCGGAGGCCCACCGCCGGTTGTTATTGTATCGGGCTGGAAGTTTCTGATATTTGCAGGCTCTTGTGGCCTTCAGTAAATTATCTGTCATTTTTTATTTCAACTAGAATTTTTCCCATACTTTTTTTATTAATGTTCGGGAATCATCCATGATCCATCATGTTACGGTAACTTTCAGTTTCACTTCCTGGTATTTCAGCGCTTTGTTCATATGAATGTCAACACCAGTCTTTTACAAATAGAAACAGTGCCATAGGCTTGGCTAATTGATTTTGTAGAAACTGTGTGAAATTGGGTACAGTGTAGTCTATTTTGTTGGTTTTTAGGTTTGACTTAAACAAAATGGGCCTGCAGATTTCATTCAGGGCCTGTACATTTTAAATCCAGCAGGCAGCAGCAGGCCCTGGCAAATAGAGAATCTCACCCGAGTGTCTTTTGATATCAAATATATCACCACGAGTTGATAAAGTAACAAATATCCGAGGCTTGCCGAGGATATTTTTACTTTTATCAACGAGTGTTGATATATTTGATATCAGAAGACACGAGGGTGAGATTCTATTTATCATCAAAAATCACTCTTCATTAGTTTTCAATGAAAAATGTACATCTCTGAACACAGTACTGCCATTAGATTTGCAGTGCAGCGATGTCATAACATTGTGACGTCAACAAGTTCATGACGTCATAGTATTGTCAGGGCATTGTACAAAATCTACTGTCAAAACGATATCTCCTAGGAGATATCGTCTGATCTCACACAAGCGATATCTACTGTGGAACACAGTTTAGGATGATAAATTAAAGTATTGCAGATGCTACACCATTGTGGTTGTTTGTCTAAACCCCTGCACTCTGCAGTATTCAAGTGCTATGACAGTGCTTTGTAAACAATTCAGTCTGAAACAAACAACTGACTGACGGACATCATCAACATTGACCAGTCAGAACTGAGAATGAATGACACACAGTCAACCAAATCACTGGGGGGCTGATCATCCAATCTGTTTAGTCACCTATTACGACTTGCACAGGTTGCTGGGAATCTATATTCCTTCCCATAATCCCCACCGGTTCCTGTTACCAGGGGCAGTGGGGTAGCCTAGTGGTTAAAGCGTTCACTCGCCATGTCAATGACCTGGGTTCCATTCCCCACATGGGTACACTGTGTGAAGCCCATTTCTGGTGTCTCCCGCCATGATATTACTGGAATATTGTTAAAAATGGCTTAAATCTAAATTCACGCACTCACTCTTGTTACAATTTTTTATTTTTTTTAACAAAATCAACGAAACCTCAAAACTTAAATAAAATACCTAGATGTCAAACTGATTTAAACTCAAGCTACATCATCATGTTAAAGTAAACAGTGGTTATTATCAACTCAAACAGACTAAATTTCAATTCGTTACAAACATAATTCATCATAAGCATTTCATTAAAGTATACAGATACTGGCATGGACTAAAAAAACCCAGATTGTTATATCATTATAAATGTGTTTATCATAAATGTAGTATACTGTATCATTCAAACAAATAAAATGTGAAGATGAGGGTAACCCATGCTTGTCATATGAGGCAACCAATGTGATTGCATGGTTAGATTCACTGACTCGCTGTGGTTGACACATCCCAACTGCAAATATCAATGCTCATGCTGTTGATCACTGAATCATCTGGTAAAGACTTGATTATTTATAGACCGCTGCCGCTGCCATACAGCTGGAAAATGGCTGAGTGCAGAGTTAACAAGAAACAAGCAAACAAATATACGCAGCACAAGTTCAGCATGTGATGATCATGACATTGATCCCACCGTAAGTAGTTCCATGAGTTTGTTAATCCTCCCTTTAGCTTCAAAGACACACTCTTTGACAACATATAATTGTGATAGAAGCGAACGAAAAAGTTTCTTCTGAATTAGCTCACATGTTTCAAACATGATGAAAACCAGCAATAAAATAGGTCAAATTACGAAAAAAATTGAGCAGAATTTCATTTTTAATCAGGGATAATCGGAAAGGGAACTACTTTCATGGGGACCAATCCCTACAGCAAACAAGTCTTTCTGCCACATGATTATGGTTGGGATTAATCTTAAAGGCAAACTGTGTCCTCCTCATTGGCTCGCTTAATCCATACTCCTTGTGTCAGGACTGAAAATGTCCATTTCGGAGCTGAATTGCCTATAACAAAATAAAGAACATGAAAACTCCAATGTCAGGGAAGGTAGCTTGCCAACCCATATGATAATGTCACCATTCATTGTGATTTTTTTATCAAACATTCAACAATCCATTTCACTACACTGGAAATAAACATAAAAAACACACTTCACCTGGTCCATTACTGTAAACCTCAAAGAATATTTCTCGTAACGGAAAGCGAAAGTTGCCGTTAATTCCAAATTGTATTTGAGGCCAAGTTCACATTGTCAGTCGATACGTCAATAATCGGGCAAATAAAACATTTTCTCCACACATTGTTGGTGTTCACGACTGCAATTAGGTCATAAAATATCTTTCTTGGTATAACGTCGAGCAGACGTCATCTGCAGTGGAACATTTCGCACAAGCGTCTTGTTGAAGGTAATAAAAGTATTCTGATCAGTCCATTAACCGTCCTCCATTGTTAATCAAGAATATTTTAACTGCACACAATCAGCTTATAACAGGTTTAAATTTTAAAGTTTTGAGACATCAAGATCCATTGGTTTTCAGACTCTGACGAGAAAGATGAAATTTCCTTTCTTCCAAAATGATGTTGTGTGTTGGGTTGCATTGGACACGAAAACCCACAATCTTTCAGAGCAGTTAATGTCCTTCCTATAATCATGTCGATGGAATAATATTTATGAGGGGAATATCTTAGTGTTTATTCTGAACACAGTGCTCAAACACGGATACCAAAGATACAATGTTTTGTTCTTTACTGAAAAGGAACCAACAGGATATTACTTGTCTGATCAATAAATCAAAAAGTCAACCAAAATTCAAATAAAAAGACTTTCTTACTGATTAATGTGTTTTGGTGACAAACCACAGAAACTTGTGAATTGGGAATTAATTCTGTCGTACAATATCAAATTATTTGGAATGGGTAAAATAGTTTTACACATTTTGGTAAATAATGAGACACTCGTTCACGGTAAGGATTTGCAAATTTCTCTATCTGAATACTGATGTGATACTGGTTTTTTTATGTTTTTCTCTTTTGGTTGAACACTGCACTGTTCAACCAGACCAGACGATGCTTGGAACAGACAATACATACCATCATGAGCTCTCATCCCATGCTCTTTTGTTTGTTGTTACATGGCGGTGGTCTTTAAATAATCAAGTCTGGACCAGACAATCCAGTGATCAACAGCATGTGCATCAAATTACACAATTGGGATACAATCACATGTGTCAACCAAGTCAGCGAGCCTGACCACCCGATCCCATTAGTCGCCTCTTACGACAAGCATGGGTTACTGAAGATCAATTCTAACCTGGGATCTTCATGAGTCTTTTATTCCATGCATTTGTCACACAATGACATGCACAAACCATGTTAGCAAGTCTGATCAGTCATTCCTGCAAGTTGCCTCCCACGACAAACTTTGGTAACTGAAAACCAATTCCAACCCAGATCTTTACATGGTTGTGTTACCTGAGGGTGTCTGGGTGTTATACCCTTCTCCCTAGGCAATCTGTCCGACCAGTCTGGTTAGGGAATGATGTAGCTAAGATGGATAGTCAAGGATAAGTCCGGTATGTTGTTCAAGTCCTTTTATTTTGGAATGAATTCTAAGACAAAGGTCCTCAGATACTGCCTAGTTTTCCTGGTTAACACACAACACATATTCACTTCCTGGATGAACTCGTTGATTTCTTATACAACTCTTAAACTATGTTCTTCTGAGCCATTCTCTCAATATACAGAGAGAACCTCTCAAGTCAACGGTGGGGTACAGAATCGCACGTGACTCATTGGACAACTAACAAAACAGAACCCATGCCAATTTTGGCTCCTCCCCAACACCCCCCACCCACCCCCCAAAATGAATTGAAATGACACTGACAAGGATTCAGGGGTTTAGATGGTTCCAGTTTTTGGGATGGCATGAAGTCTGTGAGTGCAGTTATTAACATTCTACATTCAGTGTACATCAAGGGTCACTGTAGATTTAAAAGCACTTAATTAAATTTGGTACCAAACTGTTCTGTTAAGAAAACAGGACTCCTTCAATTAAATGCCATTTGTTATTATCCTTTGTGAGAACAGTACTGTAAAATAGTGGTGTTCTGATGATCGAAAATCATCGAAAATCGATCAAAAGAGGATTAATAATAATTATCGATTGTAAATAACATATTTTTGATCATTTGAAATTTTGTTGTTTTAGTATAACACACTTGATTGAAGTAAAGTAACCATTAAATTTGATGAATATTCATGAACAAGCATGCACTCAACAGTGTAAAGCTATGAGCATTGTAAAATTGTAACCACTCTTATTGTTTAATTACAATTCCAGTGTCTTTCTTGCATGCATCTCTCACCCTTAAGATTGGTGATTACATTACAAAATGTATATATTTTTATTATAATCGATAATCGTTCACCACAAGTCCTCTGATAATCAACAGTGGATTTGGTTTCCATTTCCCAACACTAACTGGAAACTGTTTGCTGGACCAGACTGTTTGTTGGCCAACACTCAGTCACAGCTGGTGACACACAAAACTTTCGTCATAGTAGGTACTTCAGAGTGAGTGAGTGAGTGAGTGTGGTTTTACATCACTTTTAGCAATACTCCACCAATATCACGGCGGGGAATCGAACCTGGGTCTTCAGTGTGACACGCAAATGTTTTAACCACTAGGCTAACCAACCATCATGCGTTGTGATGGACTAACTTGAGAATAATCGCCCGATTCAGATGGGACATCCATATATCTATGATGCGGTACAGAAGAGCAGTCCTGAACTGATGCTTGTGCAAGAGGAACTTAGCATCCCCGACCTAACGAAAGATTACACATAATATGTGAGTGAGTACCCACATCATCGTCATCTACACCAATGCAGCGTTCGAAATAACCGCCGCCCGGAGGCCCACCGCCGGTTGTTATTGTATCGGGCTGGAAGTTTCTGATATTTGCAGGCTCTTGTGGCCTTCAGTAAATTATCTGTCATTTTTTATTTCAACTAGAATTTTTCCCATACTTTTTTTATTAATGTTCGGGAATCATCCATGATCCATCATGTTACGGTAACTTTCAGTTTCACTTCCTGGTATTTCAGCGCTTTGTTCATATGAATGTCAACACCAGTCTTTTACAAATAGAAACAGTGCCATAGGCTTGGCTAATTGATTTTGTAGAAACTGTGTGAAATTGGGTACAGTGTAGTCTATTTTGTTGGTTTTTAGGTTTGACTTAAACAAAATGGGCCTGCAGATTTCATTCAGGGCCTGTACATTTTAAATCCAGCAGGCAGCAGCAGGCCCTGGCAAAATAGAGAATCTCACCCGAGTGTCTTTTGATATCAAATATATCACCACGAGTTGATAAAGTAACAAATATCCGAGGCTTGCCGAGATATTTTTACTTTATCAACGAGTGTTGATATATTTGATATCAGAAGACACTGAGGTGAGATTCTATCATCAAAATCACTCTTCATTAGTTTTCAATGAAAAATGTACATCTCTGAACACAGTACTGCCATTAGATTTGCAGTGCAGCGATGTCATAACATTGTGACGTCAACAAGTTCATGACGTCATAGTATTGTCAGGGCATTGTACAAAATCTACTGTCAAAACGATATCTCCTAGGAGATATCGTCTGATCTCACACAAGCGATATCTACTGTGGAACACAGTTTAGGATGATAAATTAAAGTATTGCAGATGCTACACCATTGTGGTTGTTTGTCTAAACCCCTGCACTCTGCAGTATTCAAGTGCTATGACAGTGCTTTGTAAACAATTCAGTCTGAAACAAACAACTGACTGACGGACATCATCAACATTGACCAGTCAGAACTGAGAATGAATGACACACAGTCAACCAAATCACTGGGGGGGCTGATCATCCAATCTGTTTAGTCACCTATTACGACTTGCACAGGTTGCTGGGAATCTATATTCCTTCCCATAATCCCCACCGGTTCCTGTTACCAGGGGCAGTGGGGTAGCCTAGTGGTTAAAGCGTTCACTCGCCATGTCAATGACCTGGGTTCCATTCCCCACATGGGTACACTGTGTGAAGCCCATTTCTGGTGTCTCCCGCCATGATATTACTGGAATATTGTTAAAAATGGCTTAAATCTAAATTCACGCACTCACTCTTGTTACAATTTTTTATTTTTTTAACAAAATCAACGAAACCTCAAAACTTAAATAAAATACCTAGATGTCAAACTGATTTAAACTCAAGCTACATCATCATGTTAAAGTAAACAGTGGTTATTATCAACTCAAACAGACTAAATTTCAATTCGTTACAAACATAATTCATCATAAGCATTTCATTAAAGTATACAGATACTGGCATGGACTAAAAAAACCCAGATTGTTATATCATTATAAATGTGTTTATCATAAATGTAGTATACTGTATCATTCAAACAAATAAAATGTGAAGATGAGGGTAACCCATGCTTGTCATATGAGGCAACCAATGTGATTGCATGGTTAGATTCACTGACTCGCTGTGGTTGACACATCCCAACTGCAAATATCAATGCTCATGCTGTTGATCACTGAATCATCTGGTAAAGACTTGATTATTTATAGACCGCTGCCGCTGCCATACAGCTGGAAAATGGCTGAGTGCAGAGTTAACAAGAAACAAGCAAACAAATATACGCAGCACAAGTTCAGCATGTGATGATCATGACATTGATCCCACCGTAAGTAGTTCCATGAGTTTGTTAATCCTCCCTTTAGCTTCAAAGACACACTCTTTGACAACATATAATTGTGATAGAAGCGAACGAAAAAGTTTCTTCTGAATTAGCTCACATGTTTCAAACATGATGAAAACCAGCAATAAAACAGGTCAAATTACGAAAAAAATTGAGCAGAATTTCATTTTTAATCAGGGATAATCGGAAAGGGAACTACTTTCAACGGGACCAATCCTTACAGCAAACAAGTCTTTCTGCCAAATGATTATGGTTGGGATTAATCTTAAAGGCAAACTGTGTCCTCCTCATTGGCTCGCTTAATCCATACTCCTTGTGTCAGGACTGAAAATGTCCATTTCGGAGCTGAATTGCCTATCACAAAATAAAGAACATGAAAATTCCAGTGTCAGCGAAGGTAGCTTGCCAACCCATATGATAATGTCACCATTCATTGTGATTTTTTTATCAAACATTCAACAATCCATTTCACTACACTGGAAATAAACATAAAAAACACACTTCACCTGGTCCATTACTGTAAACCTCAAAGAATATTTCTCGTAACGGAAAGCGAAAGTTGCCGTTAATTCCAAATTGTATTTGAGGCCAAGTTCACATTGTCAGTCGATACGTCAATAATCGGGCAAATAAAACATTTTCTCCACACATTGTTGGTGTTCACGACTGCAATTAGGTCATAAAATATCTTTCTTGGTATAACGTCGAGCAGACGTCATCTGCAGTGGAACATTTCGCACAAGCGTCTTGTTGAAGGTAATAAAAGTATTCTGATCAGTCCATTAACTGTCCTCCATTGTTAATCAAGAATATTTTAACTGCACACAATCAGCTTATAACAGGTTTAAATTTTAAAGTTTTGAGACATCAAGATCCATTGGTTTTCAGACTCTGACGAGAAAGATGAAATTTCCTTTCTTCCAAAATGATGTTGTGTGTTGGGTTGCATTGGACACGAAAACCCACAATCTTTCAGAGCAGTTAATGTCCTTCCTATAATCATGTCGATGGAATAATATTTATGAGGGGAATATCTTAGTGTTTATTCTGAACACAGTGCTCAAACACGGATACCAAAGATACAATGTTTTGTTCTTTACTGAAAAGGAACCAACAGGATATTACTTGTCTGATCAATAAATCAAAAAGTCAACCAAAATTCAAATAAAAAAGACTTTCTTAATGATTAATGTGTTTTGGTGACAAACCACAGAAACTCATGAATTGGGAATTAATTCTGTCGTACAATATTAAATTATTTGGAATGGGTAAGATAGTTTTACACATTTTGGTAAATAATGAGACACTCGTTCACAGTAAGGATCTGCAAATTTCTCTATCTGAATACTGATGTGATACTGTTTTTTTCATGTTTTTCTCTTTTGGTTGAACACTGCACTGTTCAACCAGACCAGACAATGCTTGGAACAGACAATACATACCATCATGAGCTCTCATCCCATGCTCTTTTGTTTGTTGTTACATGGCGGTGGTCTTTAAATAATCAAGTCTGGACCAGACAATCCAGTGATCAACAGCATGTGCATCAATTTACACAATTGGGATACAATCACATGTGTCAACCAAGTCAGCGAGCCTGACCAACCGATCCCATTAGTCGCCTCTTACGACAAGCATGGGTTACTGAAGATCAATTCTAACCTGGGATCTTCATGAGTCTCTTATTCCATGCATTTGTCACACAATGACATGCACAAACCAAGTTAGCAAGTCTGATCACTCATTCCTGCAAGTTGCCTCCCACGACAAACTTTGGTAACTGAAAACCAATTCCAACCAATGGTTGTGTTACCTGAGGGTGTCTGGGTGTTATACCCTTCTCCCTAGGCAATCTGTCCGACCAGTCTGGTTAGGGAATGATGTAGCTAAGATGGATAGTCAAGGATAAGTCCGGTATGTTGTTCAAGTCCTTTTATTTTGGAATGAATTCTAACACAAAGGTCCTCAGATACTGCCTAGTTTTCCTGGTTAACACACAACACATATTCACTTCCTGGATGAACTCGTTGATTTCTTATACAACTCTTAAACTATGTTCTTCTGAGCCATTCTCTCAATATACAGAGAGAACCTCTCAAGTCAACGGTGGGGTACAGAATCGCGCGTGACTCATTGGACAACTAACAAAACAGAACCCATGCCAACTTTGGCTCCTCCCCAACACCCCCACCCCACCCCACCCCTCAAATGAATTGAAATGATACTGACAAGGATTCAGGGGTTTAGATGGTTCCAGTTTTTGGGATGGCATGAAGTCTGTGAGTGCAGTTATTAACATTCTACATTCAGTGTACATCAAGGGTCACTGTAGATTTAAAAGCACTTAATTAAATTTGGTACCAAACTGTTCTGTTAAGAAAACAGGACTCCTTCAATTAAATGCCATTTGTTATTGTCCTTTGTGAGAACACTGAACACTGACATCCGATATGACTGATTATTTGTGTTGGGAGGTCACTGGAAGTTTCTCATTTATCATCAATCATTGGTTTTTGTCTTCTTAACAATCAGCCACTGATTATAATCATTATTGTACTCTATGATAGTGTTCATGTATCATGTACGGATCAAAGGAAAATGAGAATCATTTGTTTCAAGGACGAGATAGGATAACGGCTCCTTAGAGACCTACAGCTATGAAAGCAAGAACTTAGCAGAACTTTTAGAGATTGTTTTCAATTGTTTCCAATTGTGATGTGTTGATTAAGCTGATGTGTTCATTTAAGTG